ATATTCATCTGTACTGTACAGCGAGTGGCCATTTAAAACACAGGGAGATACGACTTGCCGTGCCATTGCGCCTCACCCAGGTAATCAGACCCAAATTGAAAATATCCGACTACCAATTTCACTCTGAGTTTCAATATCCCTGTCTGCCAGTGTGATGTCACATTTCCTGCTGGCTGTAAAAGGGGGATACAATATAAGTAGCTTATGAATGAGATTTGAATTTCATGGCTCAATATCATTTAGAGGCAGTAATTGGGCAATATGGATTCTGTACCCCTCAAAAAAAAGGCCCCATTCGTTCTGATATGAGCAGAGAAACACTCAGGTCGCAGGAATGGCATCAAATCACGAGTCGTACACGTGTTCCCATCAACTATGATATTGCCCTTTCTTTACAAATGCCAGGTCCTATTCTATCAGAGGAAATGAGGACGGGAGATTGAACGCTGGACTCGCAGCTTGACGCTCCCTGTGGACTCGGGCAACTGGGAGTATTCTTAGAAGTATTTTTCCTTCGGTTGCTAATGGAAACAGGTTGTGGACAGAATTGGAAGGGGGTGCAGGGTCGGGTCAGTGGCGAACATTTCACTAGTTTAATGAGTTTCTTTACCAGCTGAACAGACTCAGCATGTTGAAGGACTGGTTTGCCCAAAATTGCAAGAACATTGCTTCGCTCCAGTGGTACACACAAAACTTCAGACTGAGCAGAAGCAGCTGAGAGGAGTTTTCTGGATTTGCTCTCAGACACACGTACTGTACGTCTTTAAGATTTCTACCTGCATCCAAAAGCAACGGAGGGAAATGGAAGATGTTCTTTAATTGTGCTCACAGATTCAGACTTTGCATTAATTCGTTTTTTCTAATAGCTCTAAAGTAGTTCCAATGGTAGTCATCTAAAAACCCTGGCTAAAGAAACACAACATCTGCATGGTTGGTTACTAAAAGATCTAAAAAGACTTCGTTAATATGAACCAATTTCTTCAATCTGACTGACATAAGTATTTCATTTTATCATTACACTGTCCATTAGCAACTTGTGATAACACTTTGTGACCGGAGCTGAACAGTAGGGTTCAGGCTGTGAGGGTTAATTGTATAACCACCTGGAATTAAGAGGATGGGAACATTTCCAGGCGTCTTGGCAGGTCTGGGGAGCTCTCCACCGTGAGGGATTACTGAAATAAGGAACGAGGATGTTTCTCTGACGTGTCGGATATTGCCTCCTGCGAGCGCTTCGTAGCTCAGCCTCGTCAGTCACATCTTGCGAGCACCTCCGAGCTGCGCCCAATTATAATTAAGGCGATGACAGACTCGCTGAAGCTCAGCAGACGATAATGTGAAAAAAAAAAAGACTTGTTGAAAACTTGGAGAAGTTGCAGGAGCGTAGACTGTGAATGGAAAGGACGTTAAAAAGCAAACTGTTTACAGGAGCCAGAGAACGTTACGTCTCCAGATTGTCCAAGGCTATTATTTACTACACCTCAGACACAGGAAGCCAATTTGACAAAAGGTGACGGGTGCGAGGAGCCGCTTCAGATGTGACCACGGTGTCTCCAGAGGGAATTTCTACTCCTTTCTGATTAATCTCCTTCCTCTGTAGATCCTAATAGAGTTATTAAAAACAGATAGAGGAGCTGCAGGGGTCAGAGCATCGTGGTGAGACCAACGCCTGAACACGAGAACACATTGGACGGATTTAGAAAAACATGAACTTGACACCGCGACTGTGGATATAAAAGAACAGCATAAAGAACATTAGTTTGAGCACTTGAGTCTTGAATATGACTCTGTGATCCGTTTATAACGAATCAAGACGTGACAATAGAATTAATTGTGATTCATTGGTATAATTACGATCAAACAAATGAGAACATGGTTGAGAGGATCGCAGCTCTACCTGACGCCTGCAGCTTTAAAATAACCGCCTGCTTTTTTCCACGTTCATTCTCCGCATCTGTCTGTTTTCTCTTTGGCTTTTACTGAAGAGGACAAACGTGTTGAAAGTGACTTTTTCCACAGTCCCAACTTTAAGAGACGGCTTTATCCTCTGTTTGCACTAAAAAGACGAGTGAACGGGTATTCTTCCTGTTCCTGAATAGAATTTGTAAAAATCTGATTTTTTTCTTTAAAAAAGTGCCAGGATTAGATTTTAGGGTATTAACGTGGCAATGATTAAAATGTTTAAATGTTGTAGAGGGCAAAACTGATGAGCAAGTGCTGTTCTCTCTGCATGTATTCTATAACTAGTGGTCGGTCTTAGCTGGTGTCATGATAAAACTCAAATCTGCCCTCTGTATAAAACCTGTGAGGAGCTAATGAGTGACAAGGTGCAGCCGGACAGAACCAGGGGATTAACTGAGGAGGAAGAAGTTCCTGCACAGTTGGCACAAAGATCCAACATTGAACTTGTGTCTTCTTTATTAATTAAAGGTTCAGTTTTTGACTCGTTTGTTTGTTTAAAAAAACAACTTGGAGGGTGGCGTGACCCAAGGAAACACAATTGGACTCATCACATTGTGGTGTGGATCTTTTTTTTTTTTTTTTTCCACTTTCTTTAACGTTGCTAGATGGGATGTTTTTTCATCATCATTATTATTTGTGATCTCTCAAAGAATAATTCATGCATCTTGAAATAAATCCAGCACATTTAGAGGACTGGGACTATATGAGTGTGTGCCATTCAGTGCAGATGCAAATAAAAATCCAGATCTAATGTGGTTTCATAAGGGGACTTGCTAAAGTGCCAGTCTATAGTTTTAACATGGGAGCTTGGTTTGAGCCAGTGTATTAAGATCTGCTGGTAAATCAGTAATAATGAGGCCACACACACACACGCATGCACACACACACAGACAACAAGCAAGAAGCAGGAGTGAGATCCGGCCTCTATATAAAACCTGTGAGGAGCTAATGAGTGACGAGGTGCAGCAGGACACACAGGTGAACAGCATCAGGTGATTAATGGAGGAGGGACAAATGTGACACGGTTTGAAATGATCCGACATTAAACTTCAAAATATATATTCTTAAATACTATTTATAAATGAGAGATTAGTGAAGGACGTATGAGCATATTGTATATAAATGTGTGTACATAATTAATATATCAGTGCATGTGTAGATATTATGACTGAGTAGTGTGGTTGCATGTTTTCCCAGACACCAGCATGTCTCTGCCAGCTGTGGAAATACGTTTCCTCTTTGGAAAATAAAAATCTAACTGGTAATTAATATGTTGCTGCTCACAAACCAGATTCACGATCTAAAATAAAAACAACAGAGTAAACGGCTCTCTCTCTCCTGTTGTTTGCACATGCTATGTTTTCTCTTTCATTTTATCATTGAGCCAGAGGCACCAAACCAAAACCAAGCTTATCACCAGCAGGTTGTTCTTCCCCTCCCCAAGGTTAATTCACTGTCGGTAAGAATTCAGGACACGTGGAGCAGCCTTAACTGAAGTGAAAGGGCAGCGGCTTTTATTTAACTATCTGTGTTTGGTGCCATTTTCCTTATTTAGTCAAGATAAACTCATTTAATCCCTCCTGTCGACCAATAAATAGACACTCCTATGCATACGTTTCTCCTTTGCTGCAACATGGGCCCTTGTTATTCTCGGGTATAATCTGAGCAGCGACTTAAAACGTAAACAAACATTACACACTCCACTTGAAATGTGTTTTTGCAGCAGCCACTGCAGCAGCCGAGTTTCCTGGATGTAAAGTGGAACGGGATGAACGCGTCCTATCGCAGAAACTGTGTCTCTCTCATTAGCAGCTTGTTGTGTGACTCTAAACAGTCAAGCATCCGAGACACCGGCTTTAGGCTCATCATAAAACAAGTGAGAAATTCATTTTCCGCCTGCATCAAGAGGACGAAGGGAGGTGCAGACAACACGATATGCAATCGATTTCCATATAGACATAACCTGGAGTTACAGATGATCAAATAACATTAGTGTGGAACTGCATAACCTTTCTTCCTCTGCCAGAGGGTTTCCTGGACAGGACATGTGCTGCATGATAATCTGTCTCCTTGGACTGTGCAGCACTTTCAACACTTCCCATCCGTCTCCTGGTCACTGACTGCCACTGTGTGGTCATAAATATTTAACACAGTTCTGCTGCAGTTACAGGTTGACACTCTTGGACTTTATAAGCATTAAGAAATGTGATTCTCACTATTAAAGATAATATCATAAACTGTAGGAACCACTTAAAGATAAATTGGGGGGGGGGGGGGGAGGTGTTTCTCATTTGCTCTTTCCAGAAATGAAAGAACAGGTTGCTTTCTACCTCTGAAAAACTAATCTTGTCTCGTGGGCAAAGAAAAATGTAATCTACTCTTGCAAAAACAATTGTGTTCCACCAACACTCCAGCCTGCGTCATCCATCATCATTAAAGAGGAGAGAAGAGGGAAAAAAGCAGCTTCTGGCAACGGACTGCTGTGTTTCTGAGCCTAGTTAGTTTTTTTGATGATGCACTTTCTTTTATTCGAGTCAGGCCACTTAATGACGGCTCAGCTGACAAAGTATCAGGGTCTGACATTTAGAGTGGGGCAGAAATGACTTAATCTTTTTTTTTTAAACAACAACAGTGAACGTCTGGATTTCAGCATCAGTGTTTTCTTTTTCTCACACATCAGATAATCAAGGATGAAGATTTCTGACACATGCAATCTGCACCAGTCGTGGCCTCAAAAGACCAGAATGCAATGCAATCACAACACATGATTTCTGTATTTAAATGTTCACAATGCATCAAGGTTTACTTTCATTATATGGGAGTTAATGGTGTGACACTTAAAGAGATACTGAAAACTTAAATGTGTTTCTTCAGCTGTGAACTAAATTATGTGTTTTATGACGAAACACATTTATTCAGTTTTTAATTTCATGTTTATTGTCACACTTACAAAACCATGGCATACAGGGATGGCTCATAACGCCCCCCAGTGTTTCAAACCATCTAGGACCTTGCAGGCCTGACGCTTACACATACACTGTAGAGTAAGCAACAGTTTGGGATGTCTCTACATCATGACATTTATATTTAATTTTAGATTTCTGTCCCAAAAGTGTGTTTGCTGCTGCTGGAGTCTTTCATGGCCGGACAGGGGGTGGGTCCTGTGTTCAGAAGGCATTTTTTTGAATTTCCAGTGAAAGACACTCAAACATTTAGGAATGAAGTTGCACTTAAGCACAAATTCCAGTGTCAGGAACTGTAGGTAAACAAGTGTTGAGTCAGGTGAACTCTTTAGTCATACATGTCACGAGTTGGTGACACAGGCAGCACACTTCTATGGTACGTCAACCCATGGACGGGGCTCATCCCCGCGTGGCGGAGGCTCTCCACTTTGCCAAACTGCCGCAGATGGAAGAGGAGGGTGAGCTTTCGGGTCATGGTCCTGAGCGCCAGGAAGGAGGCCAGGATCTGGGCGAGGAGGAAGAGGAGGTACAGGGAGTGGACGGCTCTCTCCAGGGGCAGGATGATAATTCCTTCATCGGTCAGGAAGAACAGCAGCACTGGCAGCTGGAACATGAAAGACAGGAGCCAGAAGGCGGCCAACTCTGGCACCTGATGACAGGCGAGGAGGGAGGGAGAGAATTCGAGTTGGTGGACGGAGGCGATGCAGAGATAAAGCAGTCGAGTGTTTCTCTAGTTGTATCCACACACACACAGAGAAACTCAACAGAATAAGGTGGTTGTAGCCTGGAGCTGTTTGTTTGCACACACAGGAGGAATATTCAAGCAGCCACTTCCTCCACTGTGTCCTCCAGGATTCCACAGAAGAGCTCTGTGTTGTGCGTCAGGGAGGATGTCGGCGGTTTCAATTACCTTTTCTTCAAGGTTGCCGATGTAGCCCAGATAAAGTCGCACCACTTCGATGACTGTGAGGAGGATCATGCTGGTTATGAGCAGAGCCTGGTAATATCCCGGCAGATGATAGAACTGCAAATGAAGCACGGCTGTCATGTCAATATGTTGAATTAATGAAAAACAGCATACTTTAAAAAAAAAAAACACTTTTAAAAGTATAATTCTTTAACTCAAATGAGTTTTAAAGTTTTACATGACAAACCTTTATGTATATATTCATGGGGCTTTTACAGGATGGTCTTTTTTTCTGTTTATTCATTTATATATACAAATATCCACTGTATGCAAATTTCCATTGTGTTCTTTTTTCCCTTTCCTTTTTCATTTTCTATTTTTATGGTCTTATGGTTGTTCCCAGAGCACGACTGACTGATGGATTTGTTTTGTTTTGTTCTTTTGTGAAGCATTTTGTAACATTGTCAAGAAAAGTGTAATACAAACAAAGTTAATATTATTATATTTGTTGTTGATAATATTATATTTGTTGTTGATAATATTATATTTGTTGTAATACGTTTATTATTAACTCGTCTAGTGTTTGTTTCGACCACTAGATGGCGCCAAAGTCACAAGTTTCCCAATTTGACAAATATTGACTTTAAGAGGATTTAACTTCTATTGAATGAGTTTACATCTTCATCTCCTCATTCCCTTATAGTTGACGATTTTCAACCGACCTTCACTTCCAGCATGAACACAGCCGAGAACCACCAGCAAGGAAAATAAAACATATTGAAGTAGAGCAGCATCTGCAGGGGGAGGTGAGAGACCAGCTCGTTGACCACTGCAACACAACAAACACAATAAACATCACATCCATGATCTATGAAGCAACAACAACGTTTATAAAAAAAGCTGCACGGACAACAATTGTACACAATTTAGATTTCAGGGATACGCCCAGTTTCTGTGTTGGGGAGACCATAAGAATATAAAGCACATTTTGCTTCGACTGTTGAAATTGCACAGACAGATGAATATAGAACAGTGAATATTAGACTTAAAGTGTTCCGTGCACTACTGGATGAAGATAGAGTTAAGTTAAGATAAGTTTAGATGTAGTATCCACAAAGATCACAAAATATTTACCTCAGTTATTGGATCAGAATTTGTTTCAGAAACTCATAATCACATATTTGCAAATAATTCATCATAGTATACTCTAAATAGTTTGTTTTTTTTAGAGTACATTTATATCTCAGTTGTATTTTTGTGGAACACGTAACTAACCCGATGCGTCCTCCTGCTCCCTGGTGAGGTCGCTGTCTCCCGTCCTGTTGTTGGTGAACACTGAGCTGCCCATGTAGGCCAGACCCATCTGCAGGTTCTCGGGAACAGGTGAGTAAAACACAGGCATTGTGGGTAGAGCTGGTGACCATAACCGAGCCAAAGGAGTCAGGAAATCTCACGGTCTGGAAACTGTGTTTGTGTTTTCAGAGACTACTGCTAATCCCTGTTGTGTTAAGTTGCACAGAGACACAAATGGACACACACAGACGCAGGCTGGCAGACACTGCTGCTAATCAGATTAAAGTGAGGGAGGCGGGCTGAGGATTAGGCTGAAACAGCATCATGGCAGTTTGTTAGTCACTTAGTGGCCATTTATCATGCTCAGTATGATTTGTTTGTCTAATGCCAGAATCCAAGAGTTATTTAAGATTTACAGAAATAAAATATGGAGCAAAATAAAGTTTGATTTCACCCTCCCTTTCAAATAAAACTCAAAGTTTGATTCTGTCTACAATGTTTATTTATTTATGAAGAAAACAGACCCATGAATTCACTGAGACATTCAAACATTTTCTTTTATTATTTAAATTGCGCTCACTAACAGAACGACACATCCATGTCTAACACCCCGCACCCAGCACCCGGCCAGCAAGTCCTCAGTGTGGAGCCTGGCTCCTCGGTTTTTGGCCTTTGGGCCCCACACGTCATTAAAGCGGCCTGGGTGCAGCGGCAGGGTTTGTCCACAAGATGTCGTCAAAGCTCGTCCCTCGGGGCGCTCAGGGGGAAATGCTGGAACTCCTCTGGCACCTCTTCCCCTTTCTGGGCCCTCTTGTAGAAACCCAGTGAGTCCAACAGGCTGCTGATCTCATCTGCCTTCATTTTCTTCACGGGAACAGTCTGACGTGTCGGGGAAACACACACGGGATCACACACCCACATGCACGAGCACACACACACACATGCATATGGACGTGAGGCCGAAGAGTCTGTAATGTTGTGTGAAGTAGAAGGATGCAGAGGAGACTGTATTTTACAGACGAATGGTTCCTCGTGATTCTGTTCAGGTTTCGTCTTTAAACCATTAATTTCACAATTTTTATTAAAACTTCCTTCTGCTCAGTAATTTAGTCTCTGCAATGATTCTTCATTTGAATTCAAATTACAGTCTCAAAGGGCCACCGCCCACATAATGAAGCAATAAACGAACACAACAAACACGAGACCTTGAAACAGACGCTAAAGAGAAAACTACCACCTGGTCTTTAAAAGGGAAACTAGAACGTAAAAGTCGAGAAGAAAGAAAACAACAAAGTGGGAGAACAGTTCACTTTTCAATCACAGCGCGGGCTCTTTGTGCGTTTAGAAGAAGCTGAAGAAATTCATTAACATTGGTTTCACTCGAGAGTTTTATTGTCCCTTGTCGGCCTAAACACAGAATCAGGGGCTTTCCAACACGGATAAAAATAAAAGTCTGTGGGAAACATTAACAATTTGAAATTTAAGGGCTCACATATATATATCAACATTTATGCCAAGTATCATGTCTCTGTATAAAATATTGCTCAGCTGTCAGAAACTGATTTATGAACCTTCTCAGTCTTCTACTTTCTTTCCATTTTTTTCTGTGTCTCATTCTTTCAAACACACTCTGTCTCTGCGACTCGGTATCTGACAGAGGATCTGATATCAGATGCAGCAGCTTTAAAACTTCCCCACATGAATCCGTCTCGACATTCTGCTGCTCCTTAGAAAAAATACTGCAGCACAAGGCGGATAAGCAAACGATCCCTGAACTCACATCTCACCTTTACAACCTCGTCCTTCTCGTCGTAGAATATCAGACGGGGATTCTTCTCCTCCGATGAGTCATATTCCAAGTTGTGGCTACACAGGAAAAGAAGGGATCAAGGGAAACAACAGGTTCGGGCGGTGTTCTGTGACGGGTGAAGCACATCCAATCGGCTTTTGCTATTTTTAGACTCAACATGATTTTCAGGAACAAGAGTTTTGGAAAGCTCCCAGAGCTGGCTGGCACCGGACTGGGCTATTTGCTGGAACCATTGTTTTGTCTGTGAGAAAGAGGTCATGAGAGGACCCGCTGTGTGTGTGTGTGTGTGTGTGTGTGTTTGGGAAAAGGTCACGTCTCAACAAGAGGCCGCAGGAGAATGAAAAGAGCAACAAGGATACTACAGAGCCCATCGCTCCAGGAGGAAGTGATGGAGCTCGGGCATTTTCTTTATGCCTCATCCAACCACGCTGGGAGCCTGCAAGGACGACAGCAGACGGTTGTTAAAGCAGCATGACAAATTACATTGTGCACGCTTTGTTCCACTCAAAGCTGCCAGCTATCAAAACTCTAGAGACTGACATGACAGAACCTGTCAGCCCCGATGTCAAATATTCCTCATATTTTCACATGAATATTTGATTCATAACTTTTCAAGGTAAAGCATTTTATGGACTAAACTTTAAACTTCATCTCTGAGTGGTTCGTTATTAGAGGTCTGTATACTCACCAGCAGTTTACCTCTGGCTACAACCAGCTCTTCTGGTTCACTCTCTGACGCCCGAACACCGAGGGTCAGCGTGAGCACCAACAAGGCCCACATTTTACCACCAACTGGATTCTTTAAGTGCTTTTGCCGAAGTCTTTACCAACAATATCGAACCCTGTCACACACTTGGACACTTTCTCAGGCTGGACTGGACCATGACGTGTCCCCACAGGGGAGCAGCGTCCACCTGGGTTTGATTTCTCTCAGGGTTTCTTCCTGTTTCTTTGTTAAAATACTTTTTAAATCTCAGCTCTTAAGAAAAACTGTCTCACATATGCTTGATTCTTTTTCTGTTGTTATTTAGGCTGGGTTTTTTTGTTTTCTAAAGCCACACAGAGGCCCCCATCTTTGCGGTTAATGGTTTCTTCCACGTCAGATGTTATCACCAAACATCTGGACTCTTATCACTTCTTCTCACAGGTAGTCGATGGCCAATGAGAGTGAGTCAGACCGTTGCAGCTGCTGACAGACGAAATTCCGCTGAACCTGATCCGTCTATTTTCCTTAAGAAACATATTTAACCTGATTGTGAACTAAAAACAAAGTATTCTGAATCTCAAGAGAGTTTCTGATTGGAGAGAATCTGTATAAAACTCATACAGTTCTACTTTATTAATTTCAAACGCATCCATTTGTCATTGACAAGAAGCCAAAACAACTAAATGAAATCAACATTTAATATCACAAATATTTGAGGGAAATGTCACATTGACAAATGAGGAACAACGACACCAATAGACGCTCAGTTTATCTCTTTGTGTTTTGATTTCCACAAACTCAAATAGAAATATTGATTACATCTGCTAATTTGTGTGCAATGGAGGAGACCTGCTGACTGCCTGCTCACAGTTTTCGCACTAAGCTAAACACAGACTTGTTCTTTACCTGTAAGTCTCACAAAGAAAGTAAAGGAGCGTCCATCCATGATCAAGCTGCATGTATTTAAACTGTGGGAAGAAGCCGGAGTACCTGGACAAACCCACACAGATAAGGACAGGTCTTTTGTAAGGCAGAAATAAAATCTTTCATGTCTGTTGTGTTCCATATTTAGAACATCCATACTGGTGCTGACACCTCTGCATAAATCAGAAAGTGTTGCTTTTATATAGATATTTTACATAAAGACCCACAGTTAGAGAGATATTTTCCATTTTCTATTTATACCAGGGATGCCATTTTTGACTATAATAGAAATTGTTCCTGAAGTCTGAGGCTTCGGACTTTCTCCGGGGGTGCTTCTCCTGCCAGCCCTCTAGTAAAAACATCACCCGGAGGATTCAGGGCGAGCGAGTGGGCAAGTTGATGGCGTCACTATCAAGTGACAGAAGCAAAATTGAAAAAAAAATGAAAAGAATACAAATATCTCAGGATGACAAAGAAACGTCAAACACGTTGAAGACACGGATGGAGATGTCTCTCATCATTGAATTCTGAACAGATCTAAAAAATCGGCTTCGTTCAGATACAATCAAACTAGTGCCTTTCTCTCTTTCTTTCTTCTCTCTCTCTCTCTCTCTCTCTGACATTGCTGTTGTTGCACAAGAAGAACACTTGAATTCCCTCATGTGCTCCGATATGAAATCAGACCTTATGAGAGAACGCAGCACATTTGCACTGCGTTAACACACTTGAAGAGGAAAACGTCTCTCCATCTGTCCGAGTTTACCCAACTCCCTCTATCTTGTGAAAAGGCAGACGCATCAGGTCACCACACGAGGGCGGTGACACCCACACGTACACTTCCTGGCAGTTTGGCGGGTAAAATGTGTGCTTCCAAATCCTGAGCCACAGACAATTATGATTCCAGCAAAAATAAACCCCTCCTGCCTGGAATGCTGCAGAGAAACCATCTCTCTGTCTCTATCTCTTCCAGACGCAGCCGCTCTGTCGCTCACACCGCTTTCGCTCTACTGTTTGAGATTATGTGTCAAACGGCTGTAAAACAGTCCCCCTGCTTTAACAGGGTTTCCTCCCCTTGGCAGCTGTCGTAAAAAAACCAGAGGGCCCCTACGCTCGTCCTGCCGGAGTTTCTTGCTTGCATCTTCAACTTTTTAAAGTTCCACTCCAGTTCCTCACGATCTGCGTTGGACTCGGAACAAAGAAAAAGTTAAATAGCCGAGATGGAGAAAGGGAGAGTTGATGAGATGTGGAGAAATCATAATGAGCGGTGGGGGTGGGGCGGCTGTGCCTCGGCCTGTATGTGTGGATGTAAACCATATGTGTTCACCATCAGCATGTTTCAGCTTACATCACATGGTGCCGGCCAAAAAAGGAGGATGTTGTTATTATTCTGCTGACAAAGGGGAAAACGCTTTATATTTATAACCAGGAGAGAGAAGCAGATGATGAAAACATTTACAAAAAATTTGTACCAAGCAACTTTTCTTCCGTGAGGAGCCTCTCTTTATTTTATTTTTTGCAAATTGCAACACTTGCGTTTGGCAAAAGATCAAACGCTGAAACACCTCGCTGTGATCCTGCCTCCTTCAGAGGGCTCACTATAAAGACACACACACACTTCCTGGCGATGCTAAACACCGGATGCTGCCCACCAGCCAGCAGGACATGGGTG